GTCGATCCCGTCATGGTCGCTACGTCCGGGCGCGTGCTGCTGCGCGCGAAGCGTCCATGAGCTGCTCGCCGCCTGCTGCGCAGACGACGATGCTGACGCCACGTGCCGAGCGAGATGCTGCTAGAGGCGGCGGGGCGGGCGCCGTCGAGTGCGTGACGTGGAGGACTTTGAGACGATGGGAAGGGCGGTGCTCGAGCTTGGGCCGCATTGGGTGCTCGTCAAGGGCGGGCACGCTCCTCTGACGAAGGACTACAAGGTTGCCGGGACAGAGGACGAGAAGAGCATTGTCGTTGATGTGCTCGTTGGACGTGGTGGTGTTGTAGAGAGGATCGAGAGCGCCTATCAGCGGTCGACGAATACGCATGGCACAGGGTGCTCTCTGGCTTGTGAGTTGTTTTTCTTCTTTGCATTTTGTTTCCTCCTCTTTTTCCCCCTCCGTGGTCTGGGGGGTCTAGGATGCCACGCTCGGAAGAGGTGCTGACATGAATAAGCGGCCATCGCGAGCAACCTCGCCAAGGGGCTCGATGTGCCCGAGGCAGCCAAGAAGGCGTGCCGCTACATTGAAGGCGCCATCCGAACGGCGCCTGGGTTCGGCCAAGGTCATGGACCGTTGAACCACTTTCACTCCAACTACTCTCTGCCTTTTGCGCCGTACGTCCACCTCATGGCAAACCTACGTCACGAATGGACGACAAAACAGCACTGACACATCACATAGGGGCCGCTTCATCGACTATCTCCTTGGCCGTCCCGACGTTCGCGACGTGTGGAAGACGTTCGTCTACCACCCGTTCGTCATGGGTCTCGGCAACGGCACGCTCCCGCTCGCGTCGTTCAAGGGCTACCTCGTGCAGGACTACCTCTACCTCGTGCATTTTGCGCGGGCCAACGCGCTGGCGTCGTACAAGGCGACGTCGATGGAGGACATTGTGGCCGGCGCGACCATTGTCAAGCACATTGCGACGGAGATGGCGCTGCACATTGACTACTGCGCGGGGTTCGGCATCAGCGTGCCGCAGATCGAGGCGACCGAGGAGCACCAGGCGTGCACGGCGTACACGCGGTACGTGCTCGACGTCGGCATGAGCGGCGACTGGATCGGGTTGCAGGTGGCGCTGGCGCCGTGCCTGCTCGGGTACGGGGCCGTGGCGAAGCAGCTGCACGGCGACGCGGCGAGTGTGCGCGGCGAGGGCAACGTGTACTGGAAGTGGATTGAGAACTACATCGCCGAGGACTACCAGCAGGCGCTGCGGACGGGATCCGAGCTGCTCGAGAGGCATGCTGCTCGGCAGAGTCCCGAGGGCATCGAGAGGCTGGCCAAGATTTTCATCCACGGGACCAAGGTTCGTGTTGATTCTGTGACGGGAGCTCTTCTCGTGCCATACGACGATGACGATGATGCTGACGATTTGCAGATGGAGATTGGCTTCTGGGAGATGTTCCCGTGCCAGTAGGCTCGTTTCACTTGCTCAGAGGACGGGAAGAGGGGGCTTCATATTGTCGGGAGCCTCTTGGGGTGAAACTGGGGGTAGATGGGGGGGGGAATGTCTAGGCGGTCTGGTGTTGTTTCGAAGACGTGCTGCCAGCGAAGCATGATGCAAAGTGATAATGTGCCCCTGCGTATTGCCTATGCTGTTGAGTTGAAATGGACATCGTCGTCGTCGTATTTGGGGGCAGATGTATGCCTTCAAATACTGCCTTGCCCGTTCTCGCTGTTACCTGGAGGCACGGGTTGGGGGTGAGGCAGTCACGAGCAGGTACTTCCTACCTTATCTCCTCTACCTGGAAGGCACGGCAGATGAAGTACGGGCAGGTGGCAGTGAGGCCCACAGTGACGTGGAGGCCAAACGACATGGCAATTGCCACTGTTTGATTGCCATGAAGAGTGCTTATCAGATAAGCCCTCTGGCTCCACAGATCTAGCCCTAATACGGTATGGCCCGTGACCATCTAGCCACTTCTGTGCTAGCTGCACCTAGCCTGACAGACCCTGCGCCTGAATTTTTTCTTAGCGGCAGGTGCTTGGGCGCTCTGTCGCTCGCTGGGTCGGACAGAGCACCCGGCCAGCACCCAGACAGGGCAGGAACAGGCAGAGAAAAAAAAAATCGGCCCTGCCCAACGCCTCCCCCGAAACGCCGTTTTCCCTTTTGTACCCCAAAGAACTCTTTCCCTCCCTCGGACCCTTCTTCAATCCTTTATCCTTCCCTCATCTCTCCATCCCCCACTCATCACTTTCCCTCTCTTTCTCTCTCTCTCCCATCAACAACAACATTCCCTCCACGCATCACTCGTGCGACTCTTGTTTTCTTCTTCCTCGTGTTCAACAGGAAGATCGTCGCGCGCTCTTGATCAAACACATACACTCCCTTTCGTTGTCCGTTCTTCTTCGCGCCAGTCTCATCCAGGCGACGCGATTCCTTCCTCCCGCCCAATTTACGACTCTTCAACAACACAAACAGTAATCATGTCTGGCGGCTACGGCGGCGGTGGTTACGGCGGCGGTGGTGGTGGCTACGGTGGCGGCGGCGGCGGCTATGGCGGTGGTGGTGGTGGTGGTTACGGCGGCGGTGGTCGCGGCGGCTACGGTGGTGGTCGCAACGACCGCGACCGTGGTGATGACCGTGGTGGCTACGGCGGCGGCGGCGGCTATGGGTATGTTCATCCCCTCTTGTTGCATCTTCCATCTCCAGGAGACGATCAGCATGACTGACTTTTTCCCAACAGCGGCGGTTACGGTGGTGGCGGCGGCTACGGTGGTGGTGGTGGTGGTGACCGCATGTCCAACCTCGGTGCCGGTCTGCACAAGCAGGAGTTCGGTTCGTCAATCCCTTTCCATTCCTACACGCTCATGACACCTTCTAACAAGCCTCCAGACCTTGCCTCTCTTCCCAAGTTCGAAAAAGTCCTTCTACAAGGAGCACCCCGATGGTGCTGCTCGCAGCGACGCCGAGGTCGAAGTCCTTCCGCAAGAAGCACCAGATGACCATTGCTGGCAACGACATCCCCAAGCCCGTCGAGACCTTCGACGAGGCCAACTTCCCTCGCTACGTTATCGACGAGGTCAAGGCCCAGGGCTTCCCTGCGCCCACTGCCATTCAGTCCCAGGGCTGGCCCATGGCCCTCTCCGGTCGCGACGTCGTCGGTATTGCCGAGACGGGTTCCGGAAAGACGCTCACTTACTGCCTTCCTGCCATCGTCCACATCAACGCCCAGCCTCTCCTCGCCCCCGGCGACGGCCCCATCGTCCTCGTCCTCGCGCCCACCCGTGAGCTGGCTGTCCAGATTCAGCAGGAGATTGCCAAGTTCGGCAAGTCGTCCCGCATCCGCAACACGTGCGTCTACGGTGGTGTCCCTAAGGGCCCTCAGATCCGCGACCTGTCTAGGGGTGTCGAGGTCTGCATCGCCACGCCCGGACGTCTCATCGACATGCTCGAGGCTGGCAAGACCAACCTTCGTCGCGTCACCTACCTCGTTCTCGACGAGGCTGATCGCATGCTTGACATGGGTTTCGAGCCCCAGATTCGCAAGATCATCTCGCAGATCCGTCCCGACAAGCAGACTGTCATGTGGTCCGCCACGTGGCCCAAGGAGGTCCGCGCCCTCGCCAGCGACTTCCTCGACGACTTCATCCAGGTCAACATCGGCTCCATGGACCTCGCCGCCAACCACCGTATCACCCAGATTGTCGAGGTTGTCTCGGAGAGTGAGAAGCGCGACCGCATGATCAAGCATCTCGAGAAGGCCATGGAGAACAAGGAGAACAAGGCCCTCGTCTTCGTCGGCACCAAGCGCGTCGCTGACGAGATCACCCGCTTCCTCCGCCAAGACGGCTGGCCCGCCCTGTCCATCCACGGCGACAAGCAGCAGAACGAGCGTGACTGGGTCCTCGACCAGTTCAAGACGGGCAAGAGCCCCATCATGGTGGCCACGGACGTGGCTTCGCGTGGTATCGGTATGTCCCTGATCCTCCCCCTCCCCCCTCCCCCCTCCCCCGGCAACGTCCAGCAAACGCCTGCTGCTGCGCTTTACTCTTTTGTCTAGGGGCTTTCTTCATTGCGCAATCTTGCCTGATATCCTCGTGCCTGTTCGGTTCTCACTGTGTGGAGTCTTGGTCTCCAGTGTGGTGGCGGCGCTCTCCTGCTCTCTGCTACACTCGATGGTCGACCCTTGTACCGCCAGCCTACTCTGCTCAGGCTACAGCTCATGCTCCAGTTCATGGTATAGCGCATGGTACAAGCGGTGACATGGCATCTCTTGATCTCGTCAAGCTGTCGTCGTCGTCTCACACACACAAAAAGTCTTCTCGAGTCTGAGGACTCCAGTTGCACTGAACCCTTATGGATGGCATTTGGACGCATTTGGACAGCCCTGTCTGCCGCAGAGTCAAAGACACAGCCCGATGTATTCGGCTGTCGTCCCCGGTTCCATGCTGGAACGTTGCTACACAAACCCCCGTGACCCGCATGCTAACCCGCTTGCCTCAAGATGTCCGCAACATCACTCACGTCATCAACTACGACTACCCCAACAACTCGGAGGACTACATCCACCGTATCGGCCGTACTGGTCGTGCCGGTGCCACGGGTACCGCCATCACCCTCTTCACCACTGACAGTGAGTCTTTCACCCTGCCGCACTCCCGATCCGCACCAGCACAAGTCTTGCTAACTCGCATCATCAGACTCCAAGCAGGCTCGTGACCTTGTCAACGTTCTACGTGAGGCCAAGCAGGAGATTGACCCTCGCCTCGCTGAGATGACCCGCTTCGGTGGTGGTGGTGGTGGCGGTCGCTACGGCGGATGGCGTGGCGGCCGCGGCGGCGGTAGAGGTAGGTCGCGCTACTGAACGCCGAGGGGACGGTTTTGTTGACAAACAATCCTAGCCAACGCCAACAGCCAGCCCATGGGAAACCGCCGCTGGTGATCGTGTAGACGTGTCGTCCCGGACGCGCGCCTCGTGCCACCCTGGGGCCTCATCATACCCCCCTAAAAGCATTTATGGATTCAAACAAACCCGGCGTTAGGTTTAGAGGATGGATGGATTAGACTTTGACCTCCATGTCCTACGTCTGGCAGGGTTCGCCAGGCGTTTTTTTTTATTCTGTTTCACTTTTATTCCCTTGCTATTCAAAGTTGTTGCGCGCTCGGGTATTGCATCGAGACTTGAGATGAGTAAGGAGAGGTGGCTATGGCTGTCGTGGTCGTCGCTCATAGAAGGAGGCTATTCGGGTTGTTTCCAGATAGTCCAATGAGCCGCAGTAATGCTTACGACGATTGACCAAGAGCATGTGGTGATTCCTTGACATTTGGTGAGGTACGGGGGATGCTCTTTCAGTATGTCTATACTGTTCCAGAATCGTTAGGGAGGATATACTGATGTCTTAATTAATCCTTTAGAATGATATGTTCCCGACCCCCCCCCAAAGGAGGAGCCCAAAAGAGGAAAGAAATTAGAACCACCAAGCTAAACGCCCAGGTTTCTGCGCCTCGCCCATTTTGGCATACATGCCCCCACGGTGCACAAGCTCCCTCGTGCGTGGCGACCTCGACAACGGCGCCACCAAAAAAAGACAAAAGATGCGGTCGGCGGCACGGATGGTCGACAGCCGGTGGGCGACGGCGACGGGTGACACGGCCGCGGCCCGTCTGCGCGCGGCGCCGACGCCTGCGCGAGGGCCGCCCTGCACGACGCGCTCCGACTCGGTGTCGAGCGCGCTCGTGGCCTCGTCGAGCAGCAGGACCGCGGGGTCGCGCACGAGGGCCCGCGCGATGGCAACGCGCTGCCGCTGGCCGCCCGACAGCTGCTGGCCGCCGCCCTGGCCGCAGGGCGTGTCGAGGCCTTCGGGCAGCGAGGCGATGAAGGTCCAGGCGTTGGCGGCGCGGCAGGCCTGTTCGATCTGGGCGTCTGTTGTTGCTGGCGCGGAACCTGGCGATGCAGACGACTCCGGGAGACCGTGGGCTATGTTGTCGCGGATCGTGCCTGGGAAGAGCGTCGGCTCTTGCTGCACGAGGGCGACGTTTTGGCGGTAGAGGGCCGGGTTCAGGGCCGGGAGCGGGTGGCCGCTGT